TTAAACAAACAAACAAAAAAATACTTTAATTGGTAACAAACAAACAAATGAACTCCAATTGTTAAACAAACAAACAAACAAATACTTGAATTGGTAACAAACAAACAAATAAACTCCAATTTTTAAACAAACAAAAAATACTTCAATTGTTAACAAACAAACAAATAAACTCCAATTTTTAAACAAACAAAAAATCCTTTAATTGGTAACAAACAAACAAATAAAACTCAAATTGTTAACAAACAAACAAACAAAAAATACTTTAATTGGTAACAAACAAAAACAAAAAGGGATTTTAAAAATGAAAGTCAAGATGTTTAATTAACACAATTCATGTTTGATACCAATTGTTTTCTGACGTTGGACCAACAAGGAGGAGCTCATGATTACAAACAAACAAACAAACAAACAAACTGCTTGAGTAGAAGAAGATGAGAAACTCTGGAAACCCACAAACTTCACTGGAGGTTGTTGAGTGTCATTAATTATTCAAATGCATCTCGAGCTTAACTTCTGTCTCGTTTTTAACAAACCACGTTGAAGGACTTTGAAGTGGATTCATTTCAAATATGCCGCTAATAATAAGGGTCGTACGAGGCTAAGTGGCTGTTAGCACCGTTTGAAATGTGAGTTTGAATAATTCAGTCATTTGAAAAGTCAAGGGGAAAACTCAGGAAGTGAATTTCAAATGAAATCCAATATTTTCACAATTTACTTCAAATTCTCATATGAAAAATTAACAATTCAAAGAACTGCCCGCTCTCGTATGTCACTCTAATCATTAGCAACGTTTGATTCCTTTTTATAACAGATGGTTTCACTCTGCAAAGGTTGGTCTTGTGCCGTGCTGTGTCTTGATGCATCAGTGTGACGCCTCTGTCTTTAAACTCGTTGTCGTTTTTGTCCAAATGTTCAAGGTAAATCTGAACGTGACTGTGTCCCCTGCAGGGTATCTGTCTGCAGCTGCAGGTCTGAAGGCGTGGGTGGCAGAGGGCAGGGTGGGGGCCGGAAGGTTCCTGCAGGCCTCTTCCTCGTTCAGGGGGCAATTCCCACCTATTCATCTGCCCACCTCGTCCCTGACCCCCCTCGCCTGGAAGCTTCACCTCCTCAGCAACTGGAAGATCCACAAATGAATTCCAGAGCGAGCGAGCCACTTCTAAACTTGGAGATTTCCCCCTTCGCAGGAGAGGCAGGGTGTTTCAGTGAGTCCGCTGCCCTCTGCGTCCTGAAGGAGTCGGATCCTGCCTCGTGGAGACTCAATCCGAGCCCCGGTGACGGGTTAGGCGGCGGCGGCTGTGCAGACACTTTGCTTGGTTGAATGATGGAAAGGAGTTTGTGATTGGAAATCCCACCGGGCGTCGCTTCAGAGCGGTGGCGGTCGTGTGGGGCAGCTCCGGCTCATCTTGGTTTATTGCTTTGTCGTGCGGCTGCATGTTGGAGTCCAGGAGCTGGAACGCCGTTTGTGCAAATAGCTTCTCAGAGATTTTTTTTGTTTGGACGACAATAAAATGCATGTTATGGGTTATTACAACAAAACTTGGCGGGTTTACCTTTCCTGGTTGTGGCCGTTGAGGGACCCTGAATCGAGGCACCCTGAATCGAGGCACTCATACGTATTCATGAGGATGTTTGCATCAACAACAGCCTCAGGAAATAAGGGTTGGTAGAAGCCATTAAATAAAATCTAACTTTTGTGCCGGGTGCAGACATATAAAATCCCGGTGCAGGTATTTATGTGTGAAAACACCAAAGTGAAGCTTCTTAAGGTAAAGAAATCTATATCTTATATTGTCGTCCACACACGAAGTCTCTGAGACTTAATTTGTGCAAATGGATTTCTACAAACCAGAGCACCAGCTGCTTTTATTGAAGCTGATTCTGTGGAGCTTTTCCTTCTCTCACAAACGAATGGGAGGAATCTGACTTCCCTGAGTTTGCTTTCAGAAGAGCCCTTTATTTCCCGCACAGGACACGAAGTCCAGCTGCAAACAAACCTCTGGATAGAATGAGTTCAGTGTTGAAAGAGTTGATTCAGGGAACATTCGATTGAATGGTCTGTTTGTGGCTGCAGTTTGTAACCGGAGGAATAAAACCTCGTTTTTATTTTCCTGGCTTCCCTAAAAGAAAGCTCACGGCAGACGGAGGGAGATCTGCTGAGAGAGAGAGAAAGGAAGGAGAGGTGTAGGAGAAGGCGATTTTCTTTAGTGAAGGAGTCCGACAAGCTGGCTTGTACGATTCTTTTCTTACTGTTCCAGTTTCACAGTACTGTACGGGCACAAGGACGGGGCAGTGCAAACTCACATCGCTCACAGGAGGACGCAACACAGATGTTCTTATGTTGTCGTTTATTCAGCTCTAGGTTGATTTCTTAGACGCAAACCGTCGCAGCATTTTGAGGCAGTGTGGATTTGCACTTTTCACTTGTGCAGAGGAAACTTTTCATCACAGTTGTTGGTGAAGTTTTTCTCCTACGTTGCCGTAAAATGTCACAACGCTGCCTTGAACCTTCGCTCATTTTACGGCTGTTTCTCTGACAAAGATCTTGGAATTTTAGTGCAACCATCACTGTCCACGTTATTTCAACACACAGCTTATCGTCTTAGCAACCAAACTGAGTCATTGAAAATGAAGAAATGCTACGTGTAACCAGGGCAGTGAAGCATTTTGAATGTTGCACTGATACAGTATCTAGGTGTTGGTACCTTTACTATAACTTTTAGATGAAAAAAGAAAATTCACAGTCTAAATACACAATATATGATCATAGTTAGAAATCAGATTAATTGTCTAAGTCGGAGGTTCAATACTTTCAAGGACTTTGAGGAAAAACATCTCAAACTTAAATTAATTCATTTGAAGGAAACAATGATGATTTTAGAGAAACACAGCCTCGTCTTCTGCAAACAGCATTTTGCACATTTTGTTTTCCTCTTGCTGTTTTCTTCACCGTTACTTTCAGATTATGATTTTTTTTTTTTGATCGTTGTATTTATTAATTTTGGGCCAGTTGTGAAATTCATTTTGAAGCAGAAGATAAATATTTGGGCAGTTTTTATTATAAATCTTTATCAGAATAATTCGTCTGAGCCCAAACTTCCCCTTTAACACAATGATTTGCTTTAAATAAACTCTATTGGCCCAGATTTCCTGTTGTTGATTTAGCTTGCAGCATCTTTATAGATCACTAATATTGATTGATTTGTCATTGATGATGATTGTAGAGTTTATTTTTACTCACTGCTCATTTCACTTTTCCTTTAAACTGTTGTAAAACTTGATTTTTTTTTGTGGCCACTCTTTCCCATTTTTTCTGTTTTGACTTGTAACATGTCCATGTTTTGAATTCTTTGTTTTTCTAAAGACTTTTTCCCTTTTTTTCTTGCATCTTAGTTCAGATCTATCGACTAATTCTAACACTTTACATTAAAAGTCAAATGTGGACGGGAAGAGAAGACCTGAAACTTTACTTTACTACACTCACCAACATTTTAGAGACAAAACAAAACATGTTTCACATTAACTCTGAAAACATGTTTGAGTTGTTTAACTCAAAAACTAGCTGTAAGCAATTTCAGCCTTTTTTCTCACCCATTCCAACAACTGACAGAAATGTTTCATTCATATAAAACCTACTAAATCCTGCAGGTAGTAAACAACTCAGCTATTTAAAATACAGGAAACTCAGAGTAATTTAATTTGAAATGTTGGATTTTTATTTTATTGGCAGAAATGTGGCCACAGTCCATGAGGAAGAAATGAATTGTGCTTTCTAGTTTTATTTGTCTTTGCTCAGTGCCAAGTAATGTTTGAATTTTAGTGCAATAGTGAAGTTCTGTCACTTCAACTCGTTAGGTTTTATTGTCTTTGCATTACTGATGTGTTTTTAACTCAAATTCTTTATTCCTGCTCCCAACTTGTTCTTTGAATGAGTAAAATCTGATAAAACTTACGCACAAAGATTTTCTCCTGTTCGTCACGAGGCAGCAGGACGATCCCTGGACGTGACTGTAATTAAGTGAGATTAGATTCTGCAGTCGTCAGAAACGTCATTAAACACAACAAGATTATTGTGTTTTAAAAAACTGGTGATCAAACAGGAAGGGACGTTTTCTGTAACATCTCTGATCCATCTGCTTCGTCCCATTGTCACTTTTTGTTTTCCTCCTTTCTAACCTGTAGACCTCATTTCTGAATGTAACATGTTCTTAACGTGTTGAACCTGAGACACGTGTGTGTTTGGATGTTATTTATTTGAATGTGAAGCCCTGGTTGGCATTTATCTGTTGTTGTTGTTTGTGTATAATTTCCTGTATTTCCTGTTTTTTTAATTTATTTCAGTATGAGAGCAGATAAACTCTCCACTGCCCTAATTCTACTCAAACATATTTAGAAATGTAAAGAAATGTTTTACTTTATGTGTAAAATATTCAGTGCAGTATTCGTATGTCTGGCATGTTATACTGCAGTACACAGCAGCATCCCTTTACGCCTTTTATTTTGTGACAGGTCATTTATTGATGATTTCGGTGTATTCTGTATTTCCACTGAATATGACATGTGTTTGCCGACTGTGGGCATCGTTAGCACTCTGTTGTTTCCAGGAGATGTGCACTGTACCCTCTAATATCCACTATCCATGCTGTGATGGGGCTGTCAAGTGAACATTTGTCTATTTACTTGAATTTTTAAATGGATTATAGTTGGTGGATTTGTTATGTACCAGGATCATAATAAAAACCCAAATGCGTAACTGTGTTGTATATCATTATGTGCATTTATAATGTGAATGTTCATGATTTACGATTTTACAAGAGTCTTACAAGAAAATGTTAAAATTTCCGTTGGTCTCCATGAGTCCAAGTGAATTGTGCCGGATATGCCAGTCACTGTGACCTTGGCATTAGACCTACAGGCACCAAGATCTGATCAGTTCATCTTTAAGTCCAAGTGAATGTTTGTACCAAATTTGAAGAAATTCCCTCAAGATCAAAATCAGGTAATTCTTAGATCTAAGTAAATGATAAAAACAAATTTGAAGAAATTCCCTCAAGGCGTTTTGGAGATATCGCATTCACAAAGCAAATATTTTGATTTTTGAGGCCACCGTAACCTTAAATTTTGACCTTTGGCAACCAAAATCAAATCAGGTAATTCTTAGATCTAAGTAAATGATAAAAACAAATTTGAAGAAATTCCCTCAAGGCGTTTT